CACCACCACCACCACCACGACCACTACGACCACGACCACCACGACCACGACCACCACGACCACCACCACCACCACCACCACCACGACCACCACGACCACCACCACCACCACCACCACGGCCACCACCACCACGACCACCACGACCACCACCACCACCACGACCACCACCACCACCATCACCATCACCACCAGGAGCACACACCAGAAACTAACCGTATCGCCCACCCGGACCACCAATTGACCATGGACCACGGACTAGTGACCGGAGCGCCGATAGGAGAGCCAGAGCACCGCAGCAAAAACACTAGCCGGATCACCGTACCACGACCTGCACTACCACCAACTGGACACGCGACTGGACCACCGATTGGACAACAACAGCACAGCAGCACAAACACCAGCCTGACCACCGCACCAGCCGCGATACCACCGGACCGCCCGACCGACCCACCGACTGCAGAAATGACCGGACCACCGACTGGAACCACTGCACCGAAGCAAAAAACACTGGCCGGATACCCAGCATAGCATGAGCTGCGCTACCATTGCACCATCGACTGGACTAATGGCCTGAGTTGGTCATTTACCTGACCACCAAACACACCCCCACTGAACCGCAGACTGTAGCAAGGATTGAGACATGGTTTTGAGCTTGGTGATGCTACCCAGCAACTAATTGCCACGATCTCGTTTGGTCCTCGAGACACGCCGGGGCGTCAAGTTGCAGCCAGCAGCAGAAAGATCCAGAAGTGCATGCTTTTCAGGGCCAGAACGCAGTGCCTGGCCCCTCCCAGAGGAAGGCTGCTGTGGAGCCAAGATTCTTGCATTGCCTATTTCATGAACCCCAGTGCGTACTTTCAGCCAGATTTTGAGCAGCATTTCTGGGATTGGGTTTAAGGTCAGTGTGAAAGCTGCAGCGCAAACAAAGAATCTGCTTCTTCCTCTTGGAATGCACTGCCCCTTCTAGCATGGAACCCAAGATAAACCTCTTTTGAAGGACAGTTTCCAAGTTCCGCATTCATGTGGGAGAGTGTAAGGCTTTATTTTGGGGGTTGCCGCGATGCACAACACGGGTTTGTATGCTGTGCAGCTATATAGATTTTCAGCACATTGCGAGGAATTGGCAATGGCGCGTGTTCCGTTCTGCGTAAACTGCAAGAAGTATTGGAAGAAGCTCGAATGGGCATCTGCAAGGTCCGACGACCTATCTTGAGCAAGGCTTCGTGAACCCTCTTGCGTATCACTCTGCAACTCATTTTCCGCGGGTTTGCAACTTGTGTCTGTTGCACAAGATGCTCCTCGAGCAGATTTGCCATTTGCCGCTGAATGGTATAGCAAATGGCCTGGTATGCTTCGAGCAGGGTTGCGAGCTTAGTTTGTCATTCGCCCCTGAATGGTATAGCAAATGGCCTGGTATGCCAAGGAACATGGGAAATATGGGAACCTCGAGCAAAACTAGAGGTAGAGTCAACCAAAACGCCAGAAGCAGAGGGCTACTCTGTGGGCAACTCCGCGTTACCCGGTCACTTGTTCACATTTGTCGGCGCACGCATCTTGGACATGTCCACTTTGACATGCCTGGGTGCAGAAACCGGCTTCCGGAGAAAAAGGGTGTTTTAAGGGTTCACGGCTCGCGGCTTAAGATGCTCCATGCCTAAGCTAGGAATCCACTTCATGCGCAGAACAAGGCCAGGAAGGATGTGGAATCCGTGGGAGGATCTTGGCCTGTCTGTGAGGTGCTTGATGAAGATATGTGCTCAGTCTGTAGAACGCCCGTTGACTCGGTAATTACGGAGTTTGAAACGGGACCTGGATATATCGAATCTCATGGGGTGATGTTCGTCAGACAGCGATACGCCGAGGGAGCGTGCTTGTCAGCACAGATTTGGAACCACGCGTTCAGCGAGGCTGAGTGGCTGACGTCAATTTATTTCCCTCAATCCGGCCATGACAATAATCATTTTGCATCAATGCGTTTGATACCCTGCTAAGACGCTGAATAATCCTATGGCTTCATGAGGACCACATGCCGAGGTTCATTTAAGACGTTCATGTTGTACAGTAAGCATTTTGTACTCCTCCAAAATAACTAACATCCGAAGGTGCAAGATTGAAGGCACTTTAGCCAACTCTCGTCGCACTATACCGCATGCCATTTAGCTTCACCTACCTGGGCGCAGGCAACCTGCAAACACGTGAAATTAGAAGAGCGCCCAGCAGAGCATCCATATGTGCCATGTTCGCTACGGAAGCCCGGCAAACCCCTATAAGTTCAAATCTATATACGTTCCTCCAAGATGGACCTTGCGTGGCTGCAAGGTTTTAGAGTGGCTGACCCTTGGGACAGATAGCGCCGTCTTCACACCCGACAGGCTGTGAAGAAACAAGGCTTCAAGAGGATCAAGAAGGGCTCCCAACCAGCTGCAGCGCGCCCCAAACACGAGATGAGTTCTCAAATTCTGGCCACGGTAGGGGTGGGCTCCAGTGTTAATAGCCTGCACCCCGAACCCTAGATCCTACTGCGTAAATTTGATCGCCATGATCTGAGAGCAAAGCCCTTCGCTGACAAAGGCCTAGCGGCTTGGTTTTCTTGAAGTAAGCTACATGATGGTGACTTTGGGGCTTGAGGCTAGGTTTGATAGTTTAGGGTTGCTATACGGCTGCATAATCTTCCGTCAGTTTGCCTGTAGTTTTCCCAGGGTCATGCGATGGTTCCTAATCAAGGTTCTTAGAAAGCTCAAATATTTATAGGCACTTGACTGAACGAAGCATGCAATCAGCCTCTCCCTCAACACAGTTCACTCCTCATGTACCTTCGCGCCTTTCTGTTTTGTTCATGGCGTTCTGGCTCCCCACAAGGATTGGATGGATGTTCTTCAACAGAATCTGAAACTCAGAGTCTCCAAAAGACTTACTCTCGGCTGCGTATGGCCAAGCCGCATGCGAAGATCGCTGACTGTTTGCCCCGGTAGTGCATCATCTTTAGAGTTTCGCCAAGTGTCTGTTCATTCTACGGCTTGAGACAATAATCTGCCCAAACTCAGGGACATGTGATCTTCTGAAAGCATGGGGAGCTCAACAAGGCCATAGAAGAAAGATGGCTTCCCAAATTCATGTTAAAATAATCCTAGATAGCAAAACACAATACTTTCTTTGCACTTTGGACCATACCTGCCGACAAGTGAGCGCTCAAGCCCTACGCAGGCAGCCAAAAAGCAATCAATGCGGTGGTTCCTAAAGCTCTTCACAAAGATTCTAGTAGACGATGATTGGAACTCATGCTGAATAATCTGCTGATTGCTCACTGTCGAGGCACCAAACACAGGCCCTTGACAACCCGCGAAAGGGTATGAAGGCAGTAATAAAGCATGAGTTGACCTCTCAACTCAACGCTCTCATCAAAACCTCAACTGCATGGTAAGCTATGGTAAGCT